ATGCAGATAAATATACACTGTTAAGCATGTTCTTTTTTCGGCCCAAATAAAAAAAATATGAAAACTTTAGTTGTTAATATTTGACTCATATCAAATTTACATTGACTTTATTTTTGGCTGGGGACACGGTTGGGCCAGTCGTCTAAGGAGCGGCGATTCGCTATGCAGAGTTGCGTCCCTTGGACACGCCAGAAACCTATGATTGTGGGTTCGAATCCCGGTTCGCCTCGATTATGTTTCTAGGTTTGTCAGCACCTTACCCGTGCTCGTGGGAAAAGTCCGAGACCTGCATCACTTCGGGCTTTTCTCCCACATTAAGCTGACATGCCGTGATATATCTGGAAAACTGTTAAAAGCGGCGTTAAACCCAACACACTCGCTCACTCACTTTATTTTTAGCTAGTATTTATTAATATTTCATTGATATCAAATTTACATTGGCTTTATATTTCGCTTACTTTTCCATTTTAAAAAAAACCTCGTTCACATTAAGACTATTTGTAGGTTATATTGAGTGAATAATTAGAGATGTTTCAAAAGGGTTAACCTCCCTGTATAAAAAGTAATACTGTTTTGAACTAAACAGAAAGCACGTGTCTGTCCGTGTCAACAACAACAAAAAACACGTATGACTCAAGAACCATTGCTGGATGCTCAGAATAACTTCTCGATGCAATTCCAGTTTCAGTTGAAGAAGTGTTAACATTTGAACGGTGGTGGCGGTGGGGTAGCCTAGCGGGTAAAGCGTTTGCTGGTCACACCGGAAGCCTGGCTTCGAACTCACATGGGCACAACGTGTAAAGCACAACGCGTAAAGCACATTTATGGTGGCCCGCACCCCGACATTGCAGGAAAATTGCAAAAACGGTAAAACAATATTTATTTTTTTGCACAATCGTAAAAAGGAGCGGCTACAAAGAGTCAGATTTCCCGAAAACATCTTGCACAATAATATGGAATCTTATAAGGGACATTATCGCATTGTCGCCCTAACAAAAAAAAGCAAAAACTGTCAAAATTAACCAAAACGCGACAAAACGTGACATTTTGGCCATTTGTCGCGCTTTGAATAATCTATTTTAAATTTTACCAAAGGGCGACAATGCGAAAACGCGACAATGTCCCTTCCAGGATACCATACAATAATCATGTGCGTTTTTAATCATGTTCATCCTTTTTTACATTAGTTTAACAAAGTTTAGTACATGAAATTGATAGAATTGTGTTTGTTACAATTTATAGTAAATCTGGTGATTTATCAAACAATGAAGCCTGACGTCGAACGTTAAATTCAAAACCATCTGACGTACGACGGTGGTTACCGCGTGTCTGGATGAAACTGTTGTGTGCCCATTAACCAAGCAGTTTCACAATAGATGATAGTTACAATGTATATGCTTTCTGGGCTTTATTTTCAAATTCTCCAAATTGAGACTTATCTGTGTTAATATTTATTTTAGCATCTAATCGACACGCTGGCACCCGCCTGGGGGTAAATGTCAATGTGTTGCCGTTAATTTTACAAGTCAACTAACACTCGACTTTAACTTACTTAATCCAATGTTTATAACTATTCTTGAATCAATGGATATCTGTTGGTTGATTTCCCCGTCCGACAGTGCGGAGTTAGTCCATTAGTGTCAACACGTTCAACACTTGCCGTCATTATAACACGACAAGGGTATATCACAGATCATTATGACGTCACGCTGAGATCTGTGACGTAACGTCATTGTTCATGGCCTCCCTTTCCGTGATGGAGATTGTTTGTAATGGTCTGTCTGGTGGTGAACCCCCTCTAGGCTGGACAAAACAGATGATCGTTAACAAATTCGATGAAACAAGATTGAGTAATTGACAAATATATTACAGAATACACCAGAATGGCCGACAGTAACTCTGTATCATCCCTAGTAAAACGACTTCGGGGGAAATAAAATGAAATAAAACATGCAAAAGTCTATATGTTTGTCTTGTGTCTCTTGTCTGTTCACATAGGACACGATCCTATACAATACTCACCGAAGAAACGCGAATACCATACATGTTGGTTAATATTTGAAGACATACTCATATTCCAGAGATATTAGATTGGTTAGATGCACAAACGAACAAACTGGTATGTTCAGGGAACCGATGCTCATGAATGCATCACATGGGACGTCATAGATCCATGACTCGAGATGCACAATTTGCCCCCAGCAGGATTAGCGTATAAAGTTTGGAAATCACGTGCAGCATATCGTCATAAGAATACAGACACCCTGTGGTAGCACTTGGCTGATTGTTAGTTTTTTGTCATTAATTGGTACACGTTAAAGATGTCTCTTCGTAATGTACATCTCCATATGTTTCTTTGGTTCGCTATACTATGCTTGTCGTAACAGACGACTAACGGGATCGGGTGGTCAAGCTCGCTGATTTGGTTGATGCATGTCATCGTATCCCAATGGCGTGGATCGATGCCCATGATGTCAATCACTGGATTGTCTGGTCTTGCTTGACAACGGTATAAGGATCTATACCGAAACGTCGCCTTTAGAGTAATTAAAGAAGTTTTTATCCATAAATTGTGTCTACTTTGTCTGGTCCAGACTCGATTATTTACAGACAGCCGTCGTATAGCTGGAATAGAGTGCGGCAATAAAGACACAAATCTATGGTTCACTCTTTTTGAGGTGAGTATATTTTTTTAGTTAAAAGTGGAATTTGACTTATAATTTCAGGTTGAAAACGGAAACCCATACCGGTAACGGATCAATACTGTGCCCCTCACGAACACCCCAGCACTTCTTGTTGTCGATACTTATTGGAATCCTTATTCAATGAAAATTTCGAAGAAAATAACAGATAAGAGGATGATATGGTTACCCCAGCAATCGCTTGTACGAATCAGTTACCTATGTCAGCTTCTCTGTTCCTCGAGGGGCGGTCGGGTAGCCTAGTGGTTAAAGCGTTCGCTCGTCACGCTGAAGACCCGGGTTCGATTCCCGACATGGGTACAATGTGTGAAGCCCATTTCTGGTGTCCCCCGCCGTGATATTGCTGGAATATTGCTAAAAGCGGCGTAAAACCATACTCACTCACTCACTCTGTTCCTCGAAGTCAATGGCTAACAGTTGACTGTGCCTTTTTGCGTTGACTCCGAGAAACCACAAATGGGTTGGTCCTTCAATGCCGCAGCTAACGGAACACTCGTCGCAATGTTCATCTCAATACCCCGGCACACATTCCTCCACTCTCACTGTCATCATCCCGCGATAAAACTCCGTTGATGATGTTGTGACACGCAGGAACAATGACAGTGACGGATGGCGGTCACGAGGTGTCAAGTCGACATGCGCCATCGACGCCCGCCGGTATTCGATACATCCACTCAGCCACGAATTTTAACTTCCATTAGCTCAAAGCTCCCCCTGTCTGAAAAAGGCCTCCCGGTATCGCGTGATTTGACCTGACACTAGTGTCCGCACACTCAACGGGCACCTGCAGTGATTTAGTGTCATGGTTGATGGAGCGACCGGGCCCCCGGGCACTCATAGGCAGGGGGAGACAGACATATAGGGAAACAATTACACTCACTGTAATCTGTGCTGGTCTGTTAAACGTTTGTCTCGGTGGCCATTGACTTGGAACGACGTTGATTTCACCGTCGTCGGTATTGTGAGAGGAGGGGCTTAAATGGGGATCGTGTGGGGTGCGGGGTGCGCACCCACCCTTTTTGTAGCACACTAATTATGTTGACGTACACACAAAATGTAGTTAAATCATTTGATGACTACTTTTCAACATAGATAACAATGAATTGAATAATTTTGGATAACGAACGAAAACTGTTTCGCGAATTATGTGCCGTGATACTAGCGATTTTGTTTTTTAAGCGCACCAATTTTTAAAAAAAAGCTGAGCTTGTAATAGTGTAGTTGTATATACTGCACAGCGACGAGCACTGACTGACCTTTATGACTGGAACCGATCTATAAATAGCCCCACAGCGCGCCACGTTTCTACAATGGTGACCATCGTGTTATCGTTCCAGACATCGCCGACTGACGAAAAAATAATAACAATAAATGCGGATTATAAAGGATTTTTTTTTTTTTGTTTTTTTTTTTTTTTTGTTTATTTTTTTTTTTTTTTTTGTTGTTGTTTTTGTTATGGGGGGGGGTGGGGTGGGGTGGGGTTTAACGCCTCTCTCAGCAACATTCCAGGTATATGCCAGCGGTCTGTGAATAATAGTCTGGACCAGACAATCCAGTGATTGATATCATGAGCATCGATCCACACAATTTGGATCGATGACATGCTTCAACCAAGCCAACGAGTCTGACCACCCGATCCCGTTAGTCGCCTATAACGACAAGCATGGGTTGCTAAAGACCTATCCTACCCCGGATCTTCACGGGTCGATTATGAAGGTGTGCACGTGGATCGTTGTTTGTTGGATTTCGGTTGTTTCTGTTTTTAGGGGTCAGAGGTGTTCAATCGACAAATCGTTGGGCGAACCGCTATTTTAATAAAGCTGATGATATTGTGTTGAGATGGTGTGGATTGATGTGTTCTTGCTGCGATCAGCATGAGTTGGACATTTTACGAGCGCTTCAAGAAATTCTTATTTCAAAATCAGCAGTCGCTTGTCTTTCGGGTGTACAAGATGAAGTGAGTGAGTATGGTTTTACGCCGCTTTAAGCAATATTCCAACAATATCACGGCGGGGGACACCAGAAATGGGCTTCACACATTGTACCCATGTCGGGAATCGAACCTGGGTCTTCGACGTGACGAGCGAACGCTATAACCACTAGGCCACCCGATCGCCCCTGTACAACAGTGCGACAATGCTTGTATTCGGTAGACTGAAACACAACTGAGGTTACGGAATGATGTTACTGAACCCCCATCTCATACTGTGTCTCGAATGTTTAAATAACTTGAAACAGATGAATTAAAAAATAAAACAAGTGAAATAAAACATAATGAAAAGTGGAAAATCACAATCGTAAAGAATAAACACATGAAAATAAACTCATTTATTCCGGAAAAGAAAATACATAATTGAATGAGACAACAAATGATAATGAAAAAGATAGCAGATTGATAGCACTGGGTCATTCGTGACCCCTCGCTCCATTCCGGCACTTTGGCGAACACACGTGCACTTTGACGAACATGCTCGCACTTTTGTGAACGTACGGACACCTTGACGAACACACGTGCACTATTAGAGAACACACGTGCACTATTAGAGAACACACGGGCACCTTGGCGAACACACGAGCACTTTGGCGAACACACGTGGACTTTGGCGAACACATAAATCTTAGAAATCAGTCATGACGTTTTACGGAAACTGTCGAGAGTAGACCAAGGTTATAATGCACTGGAGCCAGAACATTCGTAACCAATCGCACCTTTCTGTAACCTGCAAAACGACTCGCCCTCCTGTTAATCAATATCATGTGCACAACGATAAACCAGTAGTACTGCGTGTATGACCATCAGTCTTTGGTAAATATTCGTAAAACCAACTTTGTTTATAGGTATAATAATCGTATAAAGATATACAACAGTGCGAACAGATTTTTGTTTGAGACAGGATATTTATGAGGCAGCATTTCAAACATACGTTTTTCACTGAAATGACATATTCTGAAGGGCTAAAGGAGCCAAACGTCTCAGTTGAAATTGTTTTCAATGGTAAATACTTTAAGTTAGCGATATTATATCCAAAGAATGACCTGTACTGACTCTTAGTCAGTACTCAGAGAATAATTCAACACGTTTTTATTTTTTTCAAATTATAATTTGATGTAAAAAATTTAATTTTTTTTAAAACAAATAGTTTCGCATAATACACAATTACAGATGCTTATCTAAAATCTTTGAAAATCATTAAATTGGTTTCGGCTTTTTTTCGGCACAAAAACTTAATGTAATTTTATGTAAACATAAATTGTTTCAATGAACTTGAAACAATTTATGTTCACACAAAATTAACCAACCACAGATTACTTTTAACAAACTGTTGTAGGAATGAGTGAGAATTAATTAGACATAATCAAAGTAAACAACAGCTCTTTCAATTACTGTGATTTTTTTAAAAAAACCACGGTATACTTATTTTTGCCACGTTTAAAGGGTAGCTGTGAACTGATTTTGACTTAATTACGGATTCTTCATTAGGTCAGGTATATACCAAGTTTGTTGATGAATACAGACTAATAACGTGAAGGCAAAACCATTTTTCTCTTTCTTGACCTTCAACTTTGACCTTGTAATGGTATGTTATGGAGGGTATTCATGGTAGAATATCTCATATGCTAATAATCTTAGTGTTAAACATAAATAATTTACGGCGACGGTCCAATTCACGCTCACTGATAAAAACGCTTCCATGTTGAGATTATGGAAGATCCAGGATATCATTGTCTTCGTACACCTTCTGAGTGATGTCATAAAGAGGCTGACCGGAAGTAACCACTTCCCCGAGCGTGCGCATAACGGATTCATAGTCTTGTTTACACATGACATCAATCAGGTTCTTTTTCGAGGGTAGCATGTACATCGCCATGCCAGCCATTTTTCGGAGGATCCATATATTGAAACGGGCCAAAGTCTGATTATAAATTTCCGAAGCAATCACAGAAGACTTCTCGTTCTCGTCCCCTGTCCTGAGGCGAGACATGAAAGCGAGAATAAATTCCAAAGCTCGATGTAACCTCAGCAACGTCCTTGACCCTGACTTCAGATTGCCCTTAATGACCTTTGTAAGGTCATGGTCGACCTCGTATTGGATCATTGACTGAACTGAGACGTAATGCACTTCGTCAGCCGTCAGGTGCTCGTTTAGCATTCGGATTTTGTCCTCCAAGTCCCTCGCAACAAAACCAAACAAGGCCCCGGTGAGCTTGAAAAATCTGTTAAAATGATATACGTAAAGAAATAAATCTCAATTTAATAATAACTGGTAAGGTTTTCATTTGACATGAAGCCCGTTCCATTTTCCTACTCATATATATACATACATGTACTAAAACATAATAAAACGGCGCAGTGAGTAATAACCTTGTCATATGACCTTGACCTAAATAATCGAGTTTGAGTCAGACAGACCAACGGATGATACTACCAGCCTGGTTCCCTGGGTATGTTGCGCTGGCGCTGAGTGTACCGCCAGTACCCAGGGATACCCAGGGAACCAGGCTGATGATACTACATGATCAACGAACTTCCTCTGCCTTGAGGATACACCCTGATCCATTTAGTCGCTTCTTACGACAAACGTGACAGTCTGAGAACCTATTCTAGAATCCAGAACCCGGATCCACACAGGGTCATGACCTCTTACCTTCAATACAATCTGGAGGCATCGCAACTGTTGCGTCCCTTTGGCGCCCTAGATAGTAATGATCGTGGGTTAGAATCACTGTTCGACCCGATTATATTTTTTGGCTTGTCAACGTGCTCGTGAGGTTCACCACAGTGACATGGATAAAATGTGTGAAGCCCATTTCTGGTGTCCCCCGCCGTGATATTGCTGGAATATTGCTAAAAGCGGCGTAAACCCAAACTCACTCACTTAATTGTAGACGCTAACAAGCATGCGATAGGAAAAATGAGGATTAACACATCAATGACATTACTCATGGATATCGATATGGTCAAAGATCATCTCTTCCTGTAGTGAAATTGTTCCTTTCCATTATCTCCAGGGAAATAATTCCCATGGAACAGTTCGAACTGAGATTAGTTTTCTAGGATCGAGGATTTTTGTCTCCTACATTTCTCTGAAATGTGAAAATGTTCCCCAACCCTGATACAGAAATATTACCACCTGGACCCTAAATATGCTTGTTGATTTCTTCGAATCATTGAAAATGTGTTCCACATGCAAATGCTCAATTTCACTGGGCGAGAGATACATTTACACTGGTAATATTTGTTTGTTTGTTGTTTAACGCCGCGCTCAGCAATATTCCAGCTATATGACGGCGGTCTGTACATAATCTAGTCTCGACCAGATAATCAAGTGATTGACATCTTGAGCATCGATCCACGCAGTTGGGATACGATGACATGCATCAACGGAGTCAGCGAACCTGACCACCCGATCCCGTTAGTCGTCTCTGACGACAAGCATAGTCGCCTTTTACGGCAAGCACGGGTTGCTGAAGACCTTTTCACGGGTCTTCACGGGTCAAAATTCGTTCTGGATGGAACTGAACATCGTTAATATTATCTCCAATAGAACAACATACTCATACATTTAAATGTCTAAACTGTGTCTAAACCTCTCTGAACGTCACCAAGGACATGTGGTTCGTTCACATTTGTAGCCAGTTACATATAGGCAGGATCTGACGCCAGGCACTCGTTGTCTTGGCCGGACATCACATGAATTCCTTCCTCGTTGGATCAGCCCTGAATCATGACAGTGAATCATCCCCAGTGTTAACCATCTCACGCACAAGATAAACATATCACACTGACATATTATACTACGCCATTCTACATGTATTCGTACATCAAATACTCTTTCGCGACACTAGTGAGTGAGTGAATTGGTTTAACGCAGCTTTCAACAGTATTTGTTTCAACAGTTTCAGAACGGCGCTAAGTCGTAGACGCATGTCCCAAAGTAGCTGACATCATCGGGATTATTGTCGGGGTAAAACTGAGAGTGAATGAGTTGGGTTTTACACCGCTTTCAGCAATATGTCAGCAACAAACGGGCTTCACAAACTGGATCCATGTGTGGTAATCGAACCCGGGTCTACGACATGACGGGCGAACGCTTTAACCACCAGGCTACCCTACCGCTCCTTGTGAATACGAGATTCGAACCAGATTTAGTGTGAACGAAACACCTATAAACTGTACACAACATTCGGCAGATTTGTTTATTTACCTGCACAGTTCGGTGAACGCCGTCAGGTACTCCCTCAACATCAGCGTGTCGTCGCTCTGTCGACATTGTTGAAAAGCTTCTAAAACAACCACCAGGTCAAAATCCTTCTTCTTTGTGTCAAACGTTGCCATGCTCGCGATCACCGCGTCAGTGAATGGAGAAACTAATTGTGTCCGTATTGTACTTGAATAGATCCCTTTGACTTCCTGTCGTCATTGTGAGTAAAGGGAGGTAACTGCAATCGTGGATTGTACATACTGACCCAAAGACCGATTCACAGTTTGTTGGTGCGCCTCCTCAGTCTAAGACCAGTCTATACTTGGATACATCCAAATTGTGGTAACATTTCACACTAAACACTCACCCTGTGACATTTAAACCTCGGCGTATTTGTTTTACGTGAGGTTTAAAGCCATACTATGAAAAAATTGCATATTGTTGAAGATCGACTCCGCGGTCTAGTGGAACGCCTGCCTGGAAAGCGAAACGTCGTTGGTTCGATCCTCGGCCGCGTCATACCTACAGACGTTAACAGATGGCACTTGCTCGGCATTAAGGCGTAAAAACAAAAACCGGTTGATCTAGGGTCAGGATACTGTGTCTGAGTGGGGTATCCATGTTAAACTGCAGCATGATAACTCCGTGGGCTAGCACTATAAACTCGGCATTAGTCTGGACACACACACACACACACACACACACACACACACACACACACACACACACACTCACTCACTCACTCACTCACTCACTCACTCACTCACTCACTCACTCACACACACACACACTCACTCACACACACACACGTGCATGCACGTCACTATATAAGTGCTATATTCCTATATATGAACGCATAAATTTGCATTAATATCTTACAACAGATACAACAGTTGATTATCTTAATGAAATATGAAAAAGAGACCAGAGATCGTCTTCATTTCGGAATCAGTAATCTAGACTTGCCAATTATTATAGACTTGCATGGACTGTTTAGGATATACAAGTATTTGTTTCAGGGTCTGTAGGACTGACAATAAATAGATGTATGTTTGTTATACGTTTGTTTGTTATATGCAAGTTATTGCTGTTTAAAGCATGCATAGTCAATAAATACAGAATCACAATGACAAACATTAATTAAGAATATAAAAACAAAGTTTATTCATAAACTGGTCGAGTATAGTGAAATAACACACTGGTCTCATATGCAGAAAGACGAAATAGATTGTGACAAATCGTGTCTTTTGGGATAAACTGAACTGATATAATTAATGTAAGACCTGGAGAGCAGTGAGTAAGTGAGTTTACCGCCGCTTCATTATTACCGTAGTATCACGGCGTGTTTACAAATATATTGGGTGATTGGTTGGTTTGTTGTTTAACGCCGCGCTCAGCAATATTCCAGCTATATGACGGCGGTCTGTAAATAATCGAGTCTGGACCAGACGACCCAGTGATTAATATCATGAGCACCGATCCACGCAATTGGGATCGATGATATGAATCAACCAAGTCAGCGAGCCTGACCACCCGATCCCGTTAGTCGCCTTTTACGACAAGCATAGTCGCCTTTTACGGCAAGCATGGGTTGCTGAAGACCTAGTCCACCCCGGATCTTCACGGGTCTACAAATATAGGAAGTTATTACACGTTTAAAGTTAAAATATACTGATGGAAACGAATAAGAAAATTAAAGAAAACAATAGGACAATGGACTTTATTGTCAGTGCATTTCACATAGCACGCATAAAATTCAACACATATCAGAATCAAATGTTGAGATGTGTTTGTGTGCATTGCTTCAAACGCGTATTTGTTAGGCAAGGCTTGGAACCCATAATAGCATATCGTTTTACTGTGTCTTAAACTTAGTGTTCCCTTATTCAAATCCATCGGTATATCTGAAAGGAGGGGACGGCTCTGAGATTAAAACCTACGATCAGCATATCCTGGCTGTCAAGGGACACAACTCTGCACGCAAACGTCAGCTACTCAGACCACAGGGCTAAAAAGCCCCTGCAGACATCACTGGGGGTCACGTGGTGACCAATCAGTCAAAGGCTTGTTCGTTTATCAAGTATAATCATACATTATATACATGTAAAACAATAATCAGAGCACAATACAATCTGGTATATATACACACACATTTTAAGAAAAACGTCAACATTCTTCTATTTGAGTATATGGAGGGATGGGAGGTATGTGACAGCAGCATAAGGGCTTCAACAGCGGGTCTGTCGCAGATAGCACTTAAAGGGAGGCTCCGATGTCTGGTGTACATGTGCTGACAAGTTCAAGACGTAATTAATACCACATGCAAATTGAGACACTTTCTTTGGGTACTTCGGGTAATAATTAACTGTTAAATGGTATCATTAACTTGAGCTTGCAGAGTGAGTGAGTTGGGTTTAACGCCGATTTTAACAGTATTCCAGTTATATCGCGGCGTGTCAGATTAATGTGGGAGGAAAGCCCGAAGTGATGCAGGTCTCACACGATGACCACTCTTGTGAACCCCAACAGCACAAATATAGTGCTGACAAACCTAGAAACATAATCGGGACGAACCGGGATTCGAACCCACGATCATAGGTTTCTGGCCTGCCCAGGGGACGCAACTCTGCACAGCGACTTGCGGTGTTTGAGACGACTGGGCCACCCGTGCCCAAGTTGGCAGACAAACAATGTTTAAGGGACTGGGAGTGGCAAATAGCCCGAGCCCTGCATCCCTGTTAAAGTTTTAATGAAGCCGTCGTTCCTGTCGGTCCACACCGTAAGTGACAGAGGCAGGGCGTGTGTGTGTGTGTGTGTGTGTGTGTGTGTGTGTGTGTGTGTGAGAGAGAGAGAGGGGGGTATGGGATATTCTCAGTCGTATATCACATAAAATAACTAAAGTACCTGACAAAAGAAAGTATACACCTTAAACATACATTTGACAAAACAAATCACTGGGCCGTAGAAACACTGCAGGCCTAAGTAAGGCCCAAAACACAAATATGATACCCGTATCAAATTCATCACCATCGCATAAACATTTTTTTGTTTCATTTATAGCTACCATCAAACATGGGTGTAACTTTCTTTTGCCTGGCAGTTCTTATCACAGTTCTCAGACACTGGGAACACAGTGTTCTGTTGAGCATAAGTCACACTACAGTACCTATCGTATGCCATTTACAGCATAAATAACACAAGAAAACACACAAATCATACAGTTAACACCACTCTATCGTGACCAGTCGTGACTACTCGTGTCATTCCAATATAACCTTGTGGCTCCTCGTGACCACTCATGCTATTCCGATATCACCTAATTTTCCAAGCAATCTCATTCAAATCAGATCTGAGGACATCCTATAACAGGTCACGCCAGAACTACCTTTCGCGAACTTTGACCCACCAATGAAATTACTAACAAGAAGTCAACATTAGCTAATCAGAAAGCAGCTTTCTCGTGCATTTCGGTACTAGTTTCAAACTGGCTACTACGCTTCGAAACAAACTACTTTAACAAATTCTCGATTAAAAATTTGAAAACTGAACAAAAGAACATTCTCGAAATGGCTTATCGATGGCCTAGATTGTTTCATCTGGCGACCTCCATTCCAGACTACGCTTTGAAATGTATTTTGACACTTCTCGATTCAAAATTTGTAAACTGAACAAAAGACAATTCTGGAAAAGATGGCCGAGATTGTTTGGCAGGACTTCCCATATTCTATGGAAGGTCTCGTCCGTTTCAAATGTGAATCTCATTGAAACGAGCGACAGACGATGATTTTGACGGAATCTGACGTACAGCCGGTAACTGTCGCTCGGAAAGCCCCGAGTTAACCTCGAGGCTGCATGTCTAGGAAACACATTCCGACTTTCACTTTCCCGATCTGGTAAGCGACGCTCTGACTGGTGGGATACAAGGTCTTTGAGGCGTGACCCGTAATGGGATGTCCTCATATCTTTGTTTTGCGGTAGCGACAATAAGGATCTGATTTAATGAGATTGAGTTTCTGGATCTGGAAAAGATCGTGTAAATTGTTGTACAGATACTGGTATGTTGAAAAAGCAACTGTGCCAGTTTAAGTATTCTTCCCTTCATGACAAGCTAAATGTCTACGAGAAGAAAACGAGACCCCATGCGACCTATCCAAGAGTGACACGAGTGGTCACGAATGGTGACGAATGGCCAAGGAGTTCCGGAACAGAACGAGTGTTGACAATGGACCCAATCGGCAAACTTCGCCTTTTCCCGTTGGTTTGTGAGTGAGTGGGCCAATATTTACCGTCGCATCGACGGTATTTCAACCTAATTCAGTCGCAGCTTACAAATATTTCCCCAAATAAATGTGACAAAGGTCAGTGAATAATTTTAAGTTTAAAAACAAAGAATTACCGGCGACGTCCAATTCACGATCACTGATTACAACTCTCCCATGTAGAGACTATGGCAGGTCCAGGAGATCTTTGTCTTCGTACACCCTCTGCGTGATGTCATAAAGAGGCTGACCGGAAGTAACCACTTCCCCGAGCGTGCGCATAACGGATTCATAGTCTTGTTTGCACATGACATCAATCAGGTTCTTTTTCGAGGGTAGCATGTACATCGCCACTCCAGCCATTTTCTGAACGATCCACGGATGGAATCGGGCCAAGGTCTGATTATAAACCTCCGAAGCGATCACAGAAGACTTCTCGTTCTCGTCCCCTAACCTGAGACGAGACATGAAAGCGAGAATAAATTCCAAAGCTCGATGTAACCTCAGCAACGTCCTTGACCCTGACTTCAGATTGCCCTTTTTGACCTTCGTAAGGTCATGGTCAACCTCGTATTGGATCATTGACTGCACTGAGACGTAATGTACTTCGTCAGCCGTCAGGTGCTCGTTTAGCATTCGGATTTTGTCCTCCAAGTCCATCGCAACAAAACCAAACAAGGTCCCGGTGAGCTTGAAAAATCTGAAAAAAAATAAAGAGAGAATTAAAACATATGAAAATCATTATTTTATGGTGAGCGAGTATGGTTTTACGCCGCTTTTAGCAATATTCCAGCAATATCACGACTGAGGACACCAGAAATGGGCCTCACATATTGTACCAATGTGCGGGAGGGGGGGTTGGGGGGTTGGAACTTAGTCTTTTGGCGTGACATGCGAACGCTTTAACTATCGTAACCCAGCCACCCAGTTCGAGATGCACGCACTGCTCAATATGACCGCTTGCAGTCACCCTTCTCCCGAGCATTGCCATTGTAACCACCTCATCAAAACCCAATGAAATTACAGGCAGTAAAATGGGTATTCCTTGAAAAGCTCCCTTTGTAATTTGTGTCATTAGAGAAAGTAATGTATTCCTTATCGCCGTAATGACTTGTTTTCATTTTATATGTATGAGCACACATGCACTCATGCAGCTATCTTCGTTATTTAATACCCGCGTTAGTTTCGTGATTCTGTACCAAGTTGGGAGTACTACAGCCCCCCTTTAAGGCTTACAAAGACACACGATCATTCCTATATATCTATACTGAACAAAAAGTCAGGGATTGTGGGGTTTTTTTTAGGAATGCTATTGTTTTATGGGGGTTTTATGGGGGTTTAGCGTCGCGTCCAAGATTATTGCACTTACATAGCGACGTGCATGCACGTGTATGTGTGTGTGTGTCTGCTTGTACTAGTCCGGACTGATGCCGATTTATATTGCAAGCTCACTGAGATACCATGCCGTAGGTAAACATGAATACCCCACTCAGACACAGTATACTGACTCCGAGCCGACCAGTCCTTGTTTAGCCCCTTAATGCCGAGCCCCAGACAGGGTAACAAAAAGTACCATCTTTAAACGTCTCTTGGTATGACGCGGCTGGGGATCGAACCCCGGACATTCCGCTCTCCGGGCGGACGCTCTACCATTAGACCAAGGAGGCGGTCTATAGCAGTAAAGACTGAGCACACAATTTCATAACAATATCCTCCAAACTATTTATGATGCCTGACTGTATATGTTCATTATATATCCAAGACCAGCTGCATGTTTATTTGTTTGTTTAACATATCATTCCAGTTAAATGGCGGTGTTTTGTAAAGAATCGTGTTTGGACCAGACAGTTCAGAGATTAACACCATGAACATCGATCCACGCAATTGGTATACGATGACATGCATCAACAAATCAGCGAGCCTGATCCCGTTAGTCGCCTCTTACGTCAAGCATGGGTTGCAGAAGGCCTCTTCTGTCCCGGATCTTCATGTGTTAATCAGATCAGTGAAAGAGGAGCATTCCACGCCCAGCGTTTACCGACTAACATTTTATTATCTCGTCCCGATATGTAATACTTGTGTATATCCTTGTATACCGGCAGTTTCAGTCGGACAAATGCACGTATTTACAAAATGTTTATCTTGAGTTGACAGATTAATACTTAATTATGTATATCACAACATATCAGAAATGTCCTTTCAAACTATAATCACATTTCTACTTGTCTACGATACTATACGCAACAATTGCTATGTGTGCATCCTGTTGTGACAGGTCAATGAAGGGCGTGCGTCCTCGCACAACACATATTGTGCAGCACGTGACGTGGACTCCATACAGATTTACAGATTCATCCGACAGGCTGGTATACACACGTTCAGAACTTATGGTGATACTGAATTCAGACCTGAACAAGGGTTAGTGGCTACATCGACGACAATTCAGTGAGCATAATTTGGACATGGAAATAAACAACGGGGTGGAAGCGAAGGGGGGAGATCGCATGTGCTGCTTCGCGCCGCGTCAGCAATTCTGAGGATTGCCATCCATTTCCACTGTACACGAAAGGTGGTCTTTTTTTAGGGTCTGAGTTATTTTTCTTCTTCATAATAGAGGACTGAGGGGTTTTTTTTATCAAGCAGAAGAAGGCTGAGTTGAGTTTATTACGCAAGGTTATGAGCTGTGTTTTTCAACAACAAAAAAACAGCGCCCGCTCCAGGAAATCAAATGGTCTGCCCGCCTCCCCCTCCCCCTAGAACTGTCTTACGTACAATGATAATAAGCACTAGAACAGGACACGAAAGTATATTCATGATATGGGCTTTCCTGCGAACCGACGCCCCAATCGAGCATACGCCAATATGTACCCTCAGCGCTGTGGGCTGTTATAAACACAGGTTGCCTGACCCCTTCCACAAGCAATAAAAACCGATCACGTATCTCGAGAAGCAATCTCAATAAAATCAGACCTTAGTTCTCGCTACCGCTAAACAAAGTGAGAACTAAGATCTGATTTTAATGAGATTGCTTGTGAAGTAAACATGGGATGAATGTAAACAAGTCGGTTTGAAACTTAACACAGTAATGCACGAGTCGATCTGGTGTTATACAACGTCTGTATTTTAGTGTTACAGTCGTCAAGCGAGGTCACTTTTAGGGACTGAACCATGACTCGGCAGATTTGTTCATTTACCTGCACAGTTCGGTGAACGCCGTCAGGTACTCCCTCAACATCAGCGTGTCGTCGCTCTGTCGACATTGTTGAAAAGCTTCTAAAACAACCACCAGATCAAAATCCTTCTTCTCCGTGGCAAACGTTGCCATGATTGCGAACAACGCATCAGTGAATGGATAACCAGCTGTGCCTGTATAGAGCTGGAATATGTCACGGCGAATACTTGCGTAAATTAAGGCGTGAAGGGAGATAACTGCAATAGTAGATTGTCCATGCTGGCGAAAACACCGTATCACGTGTTTTGCTTATATACATGGCGTGTTTCGAGTGATCTGTTGTGTTTTGACAGATAGAAACTGGTGATCTCATCGCGGTAAATTATCGGACACAGATCCAATATAGATTACACAATTGTAAGGGACTGGTAATTTATAATGTGTACAATTTATTACCCTATCAAATGTTTGTCAATTTCTTCGGACGTTATTTATTTATTTATTTATTTGAAAGGATCCCGAACAAGGTCGCGAAAAGAAAAATACATTCTTTGGTACAAACTTCAACCTTCAATGGCCTCTGTCGTAATTTAAGACCCTAGTTTGAGGTTTGTGCGTCTCATTGTCATCTGGACAAAAAAAATCTGTAAAACCTTGGAATTTAACACACACAAAAGTTTAATACAGAAATAGCGATCAGTTTTCAGGGTGATATGTCACATGTCATTTATTACCCTCCCTGATGTCGTCTGACACACCCATCCCTGTCATACATGACCAGTCCTTTACGCGTAGGTTTGGTTGTATTTCGCACCATGTTGTTGAGGTGAGTTGAAACGGTTGGTTGGTTGGTTTGTTGTTTAACGCCGCACTCAGCAATATTCCAGCTATATGGCGGCGGTCTGTAAATAATCGAGTCTGGACCAGACAATCCAGTGATTGATATCATGAGCATCGATCCACGCAATTGGGATCGATGACATTCATTAACCAAGTCAGCGAGCCTGACCACCCGATCCCGTTAGTCGCCTTTTACGACAAGCATGGGTTGCTGAAGACCTATTCTACCCCGGAATCTTCACGGGTCGAGATGAAACGGAGTTTAGCGTCGCGTTCAAGATTATTACACCCATGCAGCGACGTGAATGCACGTGTGTGGTCTAGCTCACTGAGAAACCATTCCGCAGTTTAATGTGGATATCCCACTCAGACACACCGTGCTAACTCCGAGCTGATCAGTCCTTGTTTTATCCCGTTAATGCCGAGCGCCAGGCAGGGTAACAAATACAGTAAACTACGGATATAACGAACTCAATGGGACCACTATTTTAAATTCGTTTTAACCGTAGTTCGTTATAAGTATATATACAACATATGTGCAGCAAATGGACGCTAGCGGAACCCCTAAAGAGTTCGTTATATATCCATCAGTTCGTTATAAGGGTTTTCGTTATAAACGTATTTTACTTACAATCTTTGGTATGACGCAACCACAGTCACTGACAAATAACCGATCATATTATTCCGAAATATGTAAACTTTTACGACTGTCAACAGCGGTGACAACTAAGCGTGCTAGTGTACGGTCGGCAGCGAGCATTGAACTCTGGGTGGGAGAGTGTGACATGGCAATACTCATGAACTAGTTCTGCTTTCGAAATGCGCGACCTAACTCTGTAGACGGGACCAAGTATTCTAGCACGTTTGGTTGTCGCCGCTCTTGACAGTCGTAAAAGTTTACATATTTCGGAATAATATGATCGGTTATTTGACATTCAGGGTTATTGGTTCCTGACTGACAACTGACAACCATAGGGCCGTTCGTAAAGGTATGTGTTCTTTTCTTCGCCTTTAAAATAATTTTGACAACCAGTGCGGTACTACTGTTCAGACGTGTATTTATATTATAGTCTCAGTGGACAGTGTTTTATGATTACCGAGGATGTGGTACATGTTTCTGTGATGTTAGATTATTTATGAAGATGTAACTACAAATATGTAGGCCACATTACCCAACTTACCATGGTATTCTGGTATCTGACAGCATGATCAGTGTCGTGGAAGCCGTGCCTTTGACAGTTTGAATAGGCATGAACTTATTCGGCAAGATTTGGAGGATGAAATTTGGAAAATCTATGCTTTGAATATATTTTTAAACGTGAAATTTATTTTTGGATATTCTATTAATTCAATTTTTTAGTAATTATATTACTTAATAAACCAGTCATATGTTTGAAACTTAAATTTATAAATGCATTACATTTGGTCATATTTTCTCTGTCACAAGCCTTTAATAAAGTAAATAATTTTCCATTATGAAATTTGTTAGTTTTGATATGAAACTTATTTTTTAAATATTTTTTGTATGGAGGTGGGTTTTATACAATGTAGTAAGCATGTGCATAAATTAGTTTCTATATTAAATGTGAGATGTATTATTTCTTGCACTTTTGTAGGCTTGCACTAAAGTTTTACTCTCATCAACATGCCAGAAAGATTTTCTTAGCTCTGCCAGGAAATATATTGATCCAAAAAATAATTATCCTAATTAAATAAATGTCCTCTGAACATGCTCCAAAAAAAGAATATATGCGGAAGTTCTATTATGATCATAAATTTGTTTATAGTGTCACAAATCACTCAATAGTTAATCAATATAACCATGAAACCAAATCAATACATTATACTGATGACTGTAAATTGGTATTTGAAATAAACATATCAAACCCTAATCTGTAAAACACACATATCCCTTAATTTCAAATTCCATTCGAATATACATTATCATGGTCATAATGAAAGTATGTCAGTCAATTCTTTTTTTATATATTTTACTTGCATAATTCAATGAAAGACCTCTTAGTCTCAGGCGTTTCAGGTTTGTGCAAAAAGTAACTGCTGTTAGTAAATTCACAGTGATATACATGTACTTATTTCTCAAATTATGTAAATATTATTTGTTAAGCTCAGTGACCAATAAAACTGGTGTTGGACAATGGTAATTTTACACTGTGCATGTACCATGTTGTTGCTCTGTTAACCATGTGCAGAACATGAATGGGTTATTTCTTGGTTATGGAGGCGTGTCCAGTGCACAGGGTGTTTTCTGATGGTCACGGAAATCATTTACAGAACCATTACTTCAGATGGGACTTTAATATGTTTACAACTGTATACACAACAAGAGTTGTTCTTTCATAGGCAATGTATTGCTTGACCACAAAAATATTCAAAGAAATCTGAAGATCTGCTTCTGTCCAAGATGTTTTCTCCCCTTAAACATGGAAAGCTGGTCCAACTGCAAAAGATAGATAACTCTTATGAGAACACATACTTCTAAAAAACCAACAATTTCTTACAATGCCTATATCAAGATATAATAAATAAATTGAGCATATGCATTGTATCTTCAACTGAATATGCTAAACCAATGCTAAATGGGGTTGTAATGATCAAGTCTATACACATCATCCAGAATACATTTAAGTTAGGTAATTTTTCAGAGATCTTAAAAACGATCATTGCAAGGATTTAATCATCATTATTTACGAATTAGATTAAAAGTTTGTTTGTGAAAAAATCTGGTTTTTCAGTGCACATAACATTATCATCATGATATTGGCACAATTTTTTTTTTATTAACACCAGAGATCTATTTTATGGTCTTTGTTAACACAGGCACCCCTAAAAGTCTCTTCGGACGACATTATTACTCAGATATATAACAAGTATTGACAAAAAATCACAACAATTTACATTGCCAACATGCACATAATAGGTCTTCTTATGACTAAAGTTTGTGTCATCTCCCCTGGACCCATAAATATAATTCTGTGACGTTCCTTGTCAGAGCTGAACATTTAATATTGGAAAAAGGCTCAGGATAGATGTAATGGAAATTTGCAATAACATTGTATGATGCATAAACTGAAACCAGTTACTGCAGTAGGCCTGTATCTATTTAATAGATAACTGGTTTTTGGTTTGTTTTGACAACCATTCACAAAAAATGCATTGCAACTTTGAAGGGAAACTATTTATCATCCATTATGAGGCAAGATTTTTAAAAAAAATGTTTACAAACTTAAAAAAAATATGAAAGGTTTAATATACAATTAATTATTTTAAAAAGTGGGTTGTTTAATTGAGTGGACCAGATATATGTAAAATGTTTACAAAAAGCTCAGTTACTGTCACTATCAATGTGTATAAATTATTTAAGAAACTTTAATAAAAACTTGTTGAAAATTAATAAAAAATGTTTGAAATTGTAAATTTTTGTCTGGAAACTTAGACCTCCTGACCTGACGTTTTGGGCAAATCATCTGTTACTACCACCCCCTAAAACTTTGTCATTACTGACTGGAAATAATCGCATGCAGATCAACCCCATAACCGGTGTTCAGTGTTCGGAATGTTAACATACCTTATATCATGTGGTAAAAATCCAATTTCACAACAAAATACAGTATGTAGGCCAAATGCAATGAGTTGTTTATACCAGTGGACCAGTTAGAGATGAACCAGAGCTCAAATTTCACATGAAAATATGCCCTGAAATCTTTGATTAAATTCTTTGCTTTATGAATGTAATGCTGTGACTCTAAAGGAAGATGGAAACAGATGTAAATGTACCAAAGGAATGACCTTAGAATCCCACAATCAAGAAATGGGTAAATCATAATAATAATCATTCAGTGTTGTTTCGTTCAGCAATCATCTGGAACAGTTTCAGATTAAGATGGTTTTGCATCTTCAATAAGTTCAGATTTATGAAATCTGCAATCATTTTTTTATATGATTGAGTGCGTAGGGTTTTACGCCGCTTTTAGCAATACTCCAGCAATATAACAGCGGGGGACACCACAAATGGGCTTTACACATTGTACCCCTGTGGGGAATCGAATTTGGGTCTTCAGCGTGACGATCAAACGCTTTAACCACCCTATTTTATCTGAACACTTGAAATAAAGTTTAGAAAAATATAATATGATTTACTTTCATCAATTTATTTTATTATGTATTTAAAGATCTATCATGCAAAACAAACAAATCTGACATGTAAAATAAATCTCCAGTACCATAAATGTCTATTTGCGAGACACTTATGAAAATATATGTAACTTGTAAGGTTATTAAATTACATTAGTGATATTGAAACATGTCCACAATATTTCAAGAAGTATTCAAACCAAATAGTAATAAAAACATCATGGAACGTGATAGAAAACTATAAACTGTTTTGGCTGTTATTGAATTATTAACATGGTATAAAAACTATGCATATATCATGAGTATAAGTTGCTTCTTCTATAGGCATCCCTCCAGATTGAATGACAAAAATATATATTTAAATGGTATGATATTTTTTTAATGTTTTGTACTGCGTGACTAATAAAAGACACTCTTTCATTTCAGAATCTGTCTACACCTCCTAAACAAGAGGTTCACATTTGGATTTGCAGAAATAGTTGAAGAATCAGAGTTATTCAATCTTGTGTTGTCAAGGTGATTCGTGAACAATTTCCATCTGATGTATGTACTGTTTTTCTCTATGCTCACTAGGGGCGGTCGGGTAGCCTAGTGGTTAAAGCGTTCGCTCGTCACGCTGAAGACCCGGGTTCGATTCCCGATATGGGTACAATGTGTGAAGCCCATTTCTGGTGTCCCCCGCCGTGATATTGCTGGAATATTGCTAAAAGCGGCGTTAAACCATACTCACTCACTCACTATGCTCACTAAAATAAACGTTTTTCATTGAAATCTTGTTTTATGGTCTCTGACAACAATCAGCCTTTGCTGTTTCTTTTTATAAGTTTCTGTAATACAGGATGGCTGATTCTGTCTGAGGTAGTTTGGTACAAGGGCAAAGGCCGGGGAAAAAGACTGAAGAAAATAGCTTAAGCACTGGCTAAATGCTTAGTGGCAACTTGTCAGTGCACTGGTTGACTATTTCAAAAGCACAGTTCTCTTGTTGTCTGAAGCACTGTAACTCACAAGACACACTAATATTTTATGACTTGTAGCTCTGCATGAGAATAAACACAATTTGCACACAATAAAAATGGATCTCAACACCAGGAATTTCTTCTGACACCTTTTGTAAACACCTGGTATCATCACCATTTGATAGCGATTCATTAACACATGCTCATGATTTCTTCAGAATCGTACAATCAACTGTTTTTTTACAGAGATTTCTGATGAATATGGAAGGGGTTTTGTCGCTCTCATTTTCTTCCATAATATCTTTGAGGGACCTGAAAAATAAAACAATTTATTAAGATAAATTTGTCAAAAAAATATGTACACTGACAAAGTGATTGTAAAAGTAGGTGGTAATAGTCATCAGCTATGTAAGGCATGTCATGCTTACGTTCGCCCTCACTGGGTGCCTAAATACAAATGTCATCAGTTAACTGTGTACAAATTGTATCAGATCTATACTTTTACCATACTTTACACTATACTTTCATATGTCATTCACACTACACTTTAACATCAAAAGACAATCTTGCTACAATATAGAATATAATAGATATACAAAATAGTTCAATACAGAAATTATTTGCATGTAGTATTTACATTGTGTGATTATTTATAAATAGTAAAAATATTATTTTGTACCTCATACTGTGAAGCACGGTTTGCCATGCTTCTGGTGTACACTGGACAGCGACTGTACAACATGATGGACTGAGGCTCTTCTAGGGACCTGTGCTTTCTGGGCATCAGTGTATGGTTTGACTTGGCTCAAAACTACATATTTTAAAGATACAACATAGAAACATTAACACTTTTGTCATCTATATTTCACTATCACAGAATAAAAATGATAACTTGATTCATTTCATGTATCAATGAACAGTAAAAATTGTACATGTGTGTAAATTACATCAAACATGAAATATGAGGCCCATGTTTTTTTATATAGAGACTTGATATTTTGTCAGCTACAAACCAGCAACACCTGATATATTTTTAAATAAAACGTATAAGGCCTAAAAAAAACAAATAAAACAACATGTTGCAACAATGTATTTTTGTGGGTTTTTACTTCAACAGTCTGAATGATAATGATTATACCTGATTATTTAAAGATCACGACCTCCAGGCACCCCACCCCCCAATCTCACATACACCCAGAATATATTAATGAGTTTATATAATTTGTTTTACTGTCTTATTATGAAGTCTATTAATAGTGATTGAGTGAGTGAAGTTTTACGCCGATTTTAGCAATATTCCAGCAATATCACGGCGGGGGACACCACAAATGGGCTTCACACATTGTACCCATGTCGGGAATCGAACCCGGGTCTTCGGCGTGACGAGCTAACGCTTTAACCACTAGGCTACCCGACCGCCCCAAGTTTATTAATAATATTTATTAATTCGAGACATGAATGGCTGTAAAACTAAACATACAAGGGCATTGCGTAGTTAACACAACTTACCCAACCGACACGAATTAGCTGCATACTGCAATGATCAGCTGATGACGGAGTATCGACATGACCATGCAGGAAGTGAACATGGGAACGAGACAACATCGCGGATATTCATGATTATCAAGTGAAACTATGAACAAATATCACCTTACTCCTGCTAAATCACATTTCTTAAATACTACTATGGTTAGATTTTATCTGTTTAATAACTATACAGCGAACTAACCTGAGCTACTTCTACTTTTCGGCGTTTGTTTACAAAAACAGCCCAGTCAGGGTCTTGATGAGAGTGCTGTCCCTTTAGCCCGTTTCCATATAAGGATCGGACACCATCCGCTTCCGACCAGCAGGTATAATCTCTCGCGGAACACGGAACAGCAAGAGTTAATATGCGCAACACAAACGAACGAATAAGTGAAATTCATACAACGGACCCTTCCAACCATCATCGCGAATCTTACAGTATGTTATCCATACATTGTTGTCTTCTCAGTCGCGATTTTTTTAAAAGACATAATTAATTTAGAGTAATTGTGCTCAGCGTTGTGTTTTGAACAGCGCGGCACTTAACAAAAGAATAGGCTGCGCATCTGAGAAGACAGAACCACACACCTGTACCTACACCACGTGAAACGAGTCTCATAAAGTCTTTTGACGTCATTCCTTTATGAATTGGCACCAATGACGTCATATTGCAAGAGGCATAAGCCATGGCGTATTTATTATGGAAATAGAACTCTCGGTAAATGTGAAAAATATGAACCATTTTAATTAATAAAATAAATTAGATACTTGTGATATTGTTTTGCCGCTGAAACTAATAGGAAAATACTTTTCGTGATGAAAAAGTACAAGAAAGATTTCACAAATGTTATATTTGGGATACTACTTTCTTAGTAAAGTACAGATTCTCGTACTTTTGGGGGTTGAGTCCCGTCCGGGATTCGAACCCACACCAGAGTGAGGCACCTAATCGTCAGCAACACAAAGTCAGCGATTTTTATTATTATTATTATCATTATTGTCATTATTAGTTGTCGAATGAAAAACGTTCCACGCATGTCCAGTTCGTTGTATATGGTCGAAACGAGAGGATTTGTAGGCCACCATTTTTTTTACAGAACGCTGTCTGCAGATCAGTATATATTCTTACAACACAGGAGGGTTCAAGGGGGGTAAACCCTCATTTTCAAATATAATTGCAAGCTCAATCTGTTCCTAGAAAAATATATTTTGTAAGACGAACAACACAGCGGGGTTCAATGGGGTACCCCCCCCCCCCCCCCCCCCTACGCACACACACACACAAACACACAACACAGCGGGGCTCACTGGGGTACCACACACACTCACACACACACACACACACCCCTATCCCCCTTACCAATTCTAAAAGTATAATACGGGGGGGGGGGGGGGTCGCATTCATGAACGCATATTGATATTCATACAATGATAATTGTACACCTTTTGACTCCGAAGTATAGTATTCTTTGTTTGTATGTTAATCCAAAAATCAGTAACATTCAAAATAAGTTTAATTGCTGTACTCGTCCATATACAGTTTATACCTTCCCACATACACATTGTGCAAATCATCCACTATCTTATTATGACATGATTGTACACTCCTATGTATTTTACTACTGAATATCGGAATCTTTCTCTGTAATGTATAAAAAAAAGAAAAAAGCATAACACAAGCATCCAAAGATTTTATAGAGACTATACGAATCTTTACGAATTAATACAATATAACCCCATACAGAAGTGGCATAACATTTTTAAGAGGTGTTAATTAGAGAATAATTTGATTTCCTATATTTCTTGAAGATTTACTTTATTATTACATATACCACTGTGTCCAGAAGTGGCCAAGTTTGCTACTTTTAAGAGAAAAGTTTCAATATTTTTTACGCATATCACATCCTCTATATCTCCAGGGATCGCATGTCAGGGTACATGTAAACCGAAATGCGAGCGCTGGAGATATCGAATGGACACATATCACCACCTCGTGCATTTTTAACAAGTTTTCCAGAATATCTTGTAACAGCTTTATAGTTAAACTATAATGGGCTTCACACATTGTACCCATGTCGGGATTCGAACCCGGGTCTTCAGCGTGACGAGCGAACGCTTTAACCACTAGGCTACCCGACCGCCCCTCTATTTCATGAGAGGGCACGGATAGCCCTGTCGTCTAAAACGCAAAGTAGCGTCCCTTTGGGACGCCAGCGTTGCAGGACTCAGACGTTTACCACTTTGGTGAAACCCACGAGTATGGAGCTGACAAACCAAGAAACATAGTCGGGGCGAACCGAGATTTGAACCCACGATCATAGGCTTCTGGCGCGCCCAATGGACACAACTCTGCACAGCGAATTGCGGCGCCTAAGATTTGTTTGTTTGTTTGTTTTTTATTTAACTCCGCACTCGGCAATATTCCATTTTTATGACCGCGGTCTGTAAGTAATCGAGCCTGGACCAGACAATCCAGTGATTGAAATCATGAGCATCGATCCACGCTATTGGGATTGATGACATGCATCAACCAAGTCTGCGAGCCTGACCACCCGATCCCGTTAGTCGCCTCTTACGACAAGCATACGGGTTGTACCCCCACCCCCCTCCCCTCATTATCCTCTGAACCATTGGATACTTGAACTGGAATATAGTGATGAACCCAGTAATTTGGTCTCTTTAAAATTGGATCACAATTATATACATTCTTAGGGACCGACCATATGAATTTCATTGATGGGTATCTTTGATATCTTATCTTGAAAATCAATAAATTTGCTCTTTTCGGCATAAATTAATAACATTTCAAACATGATAGGGGTCATGTGGTTGCAAGTTCATTTCCTACCCTAGTCTTCATCGAACCAATATATTTTTACACAATATTATTCAGCCACAGATTACTTTTCACAAACTGTTGCAGGAATGAGTGATGGTTAAAAAGACATAATCAAATTTAACAACAGTTCTTTTAATAATTATTATCCATTACATAAAAAAAACCTCGGTTTTCTCTCCTTTGACCCTCAGCTAATACGTTTTTGCTCGTGTGGTACTTTATACATATTGTTCATAATTCTTTGATAATGTTTTTCCTAATCATCATTATGATTAAAATGCATTAAAATGTTAAGGCGCTTGGCAACTCATGTTCGACCATCCACCGTATTACATCTCCATTCTATTATGATGAATACCGCTAAAAAAAATACCATTTATTATTACAAAATCATTTGCGAAATTTGGAATCCAAGCCATATAACGGAGAGGGGCGTCAACATCGGCTCTATATGGTGTACCCATGTGGTGAATTGGTGTGACGAGTCAACGCTTTAACCTCGCTAGACAAACCCCATCGCCAATGTCTTTGTCGGATAAAATTATTTATATAAACAAATGTCAAATCAGATTAGAAGTGTTGTATATTTCATGCAGGTGTTCACCAGAATAGTCACGTGATGTCATGGTTACGAGTTTAGCCAATCGGGAAACACTTCCGTTGCACGTGTTTTTTCTGCGCGTGAGCTAGATCGAAGCAGACGACGCTTACTTTTTCAAATGCACCGGTGCATGTTAAATTAATTTCAACAAGCTGTTTAGAATTAATTTAAAATTGAGATTACAATGGGCTTAGACCCCTATTTCTCATGTTTATAATAATTATTATTCACGAACTACTTTGAACGCTGCGTTTAAAACTTTGGCATGTCATGTGCATTATGAAGACTTTCACGAAGAAACATTTTTCAGCTTGATTTCCTGCCCTGCCGGATGTTTTCACTCTGGAGAGGACGTTGGAACAAAACGACAAGGTAAGTGCAGCAATATGTAATTAAACAATCTGTTGGTCGAACATATTATTATGTAAACGAATAATCGCTGTGGCTGCAAGGATTCGCAGATTATGTGATTTTATATTCGATACAAAACAGCACCAGGGCACCAGGCCGGTAAGAGCGTTTCTCTGTCACTGTGTGTGTGCGTGCGGGCGTGCGCCCGTTCGTCCGTCCGTGCGTGTGGAGGGGGGTAGGGGAGATTGTCCCATGTCGTCCATGAATGAAGCATGTTATTTAATGTTAGAATATGGCATGTACATAAAACATATTGATTCTAAATTCTGTTTATGTTCTTACACCTATGTCGTTGGTGTTTTCAACTTGACCAATTACACAATTATAATTATATTTCAACCGCATTACTATGGAAAGACCAAGGATGGGTTTCCCACATCTTACCCAATTTGGGTACAAGACTCGGATTTTCGTCAGAGGAGCGAACGTTTTAACAATGTTTCTCCATACAACACCAGTGATGTAAACAAGAGAAAACAGTTTCGTTGCCGTCATAATAGCTTCCTCGACACAATTATGCAGCGTTGATATATATATTTTTAGATAATGAATGAATGAATGAGTTTTAGCAATATTCCAGCAATATCACGGCGGGGGACACCAGAAATGGGCTTCACACATTGTACCCAGTTCGGGATTTGAACCCGCGCACACTATACACACACCGAATTTTTTTTTTAATAATGTTTTCACAAGTAGAATTTTGTCCAACGCCTCCACACATTGGCCAACAACATATGCACACATACAGAGTATTTGCTGCGAAATGACCGTTTTAACCATTCATTGCAACTCTATCTTGTCCAGCTCCGCTATGAAAGGTGTAGTAACACCAATACTTGCTGGGTTTTTTTAAACCTGCCAACTGTTGGTGTAGTATCAATAAAACTTGAAACGAGTTTTGGTCCGTCAATTCAGCAGTCTTACTCCGACGGGGGTAGTTGTTTGGTCTGCTGTAAGCAACCGGAAACTTGGTACCAGTGTCTAAATAGGGTGGGGTGAGGTTAGGTGTCACTTTTTCCATCGGAATTTTTATCAACAAATCTTCACAAAGTGAGACTTTGCTAAACCCCTGCACCCATTGACCGACATCTACATGCATACACAGATTTTTTTTAAAATAGATTCAATATTTGTGGGAATTGGTTTGTTTTGAATTTTGTTTTGTCAAAGATTAATCTAAAATATTTGCTGTATATTATAATGAAATTTGAAATTGCCGAGAATACTGTCGATGCATTAAATGGCTTGAAGAGTAAAGCTAGATTGTTTTTTTTATGTTTTGATGTATAGAGCTCGAACGGAAGTTTGTTACTGATCGTGATATAAAGATCAGTTGTCAAGGTCATCGGTTGTTTTGCAGTTTGTACATTGATCACTGTGGTGTTAA